TCCCTCCCCGTCCAGGAACAGAGACCCCCCCCGCAGGTCCCCTTCTTGCCCCCCCATTCATTGATCCTCCCCTTCCACATGGCTGTTGAAAGGGGAGAGCAGGCACCCTCCTCCTCTCTGGGATGGCAAAGACAGGGAGGGAGTAGGGGCTCCTTGGAGGAGCGGGCTGGGCAGAGAGGAAGGCTTGGCCCTGACATCTCTCCCCCCCCCGCTTCTCTCCCCTGTGACCACAGGGCTCTGAGCGGTCACCCCGGAGGAGCCCGAGTCTCATGAAGAAAGTCAAGAAAGTCAAGAAGAAGGTGTCCGGGGTCTCCTCAAACATCTCGGGAACGTCTCCGAGGAAGAAAGAGCAGCAAAGAAAGTGAGTGGATCCATCCATCGTTGGCGTGGTAGCTGGCAAAACATGGCGCAGCAGCTGCTCGTCCCTTATCCCTCCCCCCAGCCTTTTAAACTCTGGCAAACGGCCGGATAGCTAGGTGGTTCAAGGCATCTGGCAGTGGAGCCAGAGGTTGGGAGATCGAATCCCCTGCTGTTCCTCCTTGATAAGTCTGGACTGATCCCCAGGGCCCCTTCTAGCTCTGCAGTTCTAAGAGGATGATGATGATGTTTTTAGCTTTGCCTGCTGTGACGTTTCCCTCCTTCAAAAATGGCTGGTGCCACGGTGGCCAAACATTAAAAGAAAAAAAGGAAAATCCCTGTACAGACTAACAGACTTATTTTAATATAAATTTTAGTGGATTGCAATCTATTTCTTCAGAGGATACTGGATTCGGGACTTGGGTGCAGGCCAGAGGATGGTGGGGTGGGATGAGTGCAAAATGGGGCCCACAATCATACATGGGTATTAAGCTTTCAAAAGCCTAGTTAGCATCAAAATCCTGGCAGTCAGGGAGATACCGTTAACTACTGGTGTGCAAGCCTGTGAAGTCAGGACACCTGCCCTCATGAAGTGTGAATTAGTTCATAGGGTTTTTGATCTTTTGGGTTTTAGTTGTGTTTGTTGTGCTGCAATCAGAATCTTTATGTGAAGGACTGAAGGGAGGAGATTAAAAAGAATCCCTACCTATCTGTGTGCTAAAAAGTCCTTGTCCTTCTTCAAACCCTGGTGCGTAGTCTGGAGTTTGTGAACCTACCCCAGTTTAGCCAACCTGTCTGTCTCCCTTTCAGATCTTTCCCCTTGAGATCAAAGACCAGGGATGTGGGGAAGGGGAAGTCACCTAAGATCACTTGAGGAATTGAGAGTAGGATCTCAGGGATCCTTCCGGGGAATGACTTCAGCCGGCTGACAGTCTGAGGCTGAAAAAAATAAATAAATAAATAGAAGGGCCAGACCTTCCACCGGAGCCAAGGAGTGACAAAAGGTCTTTGGCCAGTCTTGGCAGTAGGGCCTCCAGGAGGGAAGGACGTCTCTGCAGAGGACAGAACAAGGAGCTGGTTAAGCCGGACCTCTGGCTTTGGGGGCCAGAGCTACATATAACAACCCCGCAGCCCTTGTGGCCAGGGCTTCGTGAGAATCACTTCCCTTCCTCTCAGCCAGGGCAAGCAATTCCACGGATGGGGCTCCTCTGCCTCCCCCCCCCATATAGCCCCAGATTTTTAAACCCGGGCATGTTTCCCGTCTTGTTCCTGTGGGGTCCTGTGTGCATGCGTCTGTTATGAACTAGCCTACTCTTGAGTATATCTGGGAACACTTGAAGGGGCTGTATTATCTCAGCGGACTGAGCATCAGGGTCTGCTCTCAGAGGACAACCTCGTTCCCTGCTCTCTAAACGTTGGTTGTGAACAACCAGCCTAAAGAAAACTTCTGTGTCACCCTGCAAGCTTACATGCTCTACTTCAACCATCAATTGCTCCTTTGAGAGAGAGAGAGAGAGAGAGAGAATGTGTGTGTGTGTGTATGTGTGTGTGATCAGTTCAATTGAGTTTTGTAGAAATGGGCCCATTTCGCTTCAGAGAGGGCAGAAGTCCGTCCCTGAAGCTACTCTTTCTTGTGCTTCCTCCCTGGCCAGGATGTCCTTCCACGCAGACCTCCAGGAAGATGCGTTTGCCGTACCGAATGACATACGAGGTAAGAGCCCCTCCCTGGGAGTTCTGCCCCTTCCCGTCCTTCAGCAGCCCCCTCACCCAGCCTCTTGTGGAATGGGAACCAGAGGAGCCGAAGGGAAGAGCGAGGAGGAGAGAGAGCCCGTCTCGGTCAGGGTGGGAGCAGCCAGAGTAGGGCTGGGGGAGACCCGGGAGAGCCCTTCCGGAGAGCTGGCAGCCTTGGAGGGAGTTTAGAAAAGTGACCCTTTTGTCCGACCACCCCCACCCTCTCCCAGCCACCATGATCAGGAGGGGGGCCGCCAACCTGGGCCGGAGGATTCCCCAGATCATCCCAAGAGGCAACTTTTCCAGGTTGCATCTCGCCTCTCGGTCTGGCCCCTTCCTTGGACAGACTCTGGGGAAGCCCGCCCTGCCGCCTCTAGGGGGAGCCAAAGGCCAACCCAAGTCTTGGCCCCGCTCAGTTGGGCTCCCGCTCCGTCCGCATCCCATGGGAGTTGGCTTTTGCGGGCAGACCTGTGCAAACCCTCTTCTTCTTCTTCTTCTTCTTCTTCTCCTCCTCTTCGCTCGCTCCTTCTCCCAGTGCTGTTCTACGACATGCCTCCACCGCTGGTGTGCGCGCGATGCAGAGGGCGGCTGTCGAAGGCCTCCCCGAGAAGAGGCAGTAGCGACCCCGGGACCCACTCCTCGGATCTGGACCTCCTGCGCTGGATGGACGACCAGAGCTACGGCCTCTGGCAGCAAGAGACTCCCGCGTGGCTGCAGCCCCTTTGCCGGCTGAGCAGCCTGGCTGCTGCCAACGCCAAATACAGCCCCTCGTGACTGAGGATGGGCCACCGTGAGGCTGGCTGGCTGGCTGGCGGGCTACAGGGCCCTGGGACCCCACCCCACCGCCAGCGCCCACAGGGAAGCGGGCGGGCTGGCTGGCTGGCAGAAATTGCAGACAGAGAACTAACGCAAGGAATAAACCTACCAAGCTCGGCCTGTGCCCAAGACTCCCATTGTGGGGGTGGGGGGGTGCAGGGGGGTGTTTCTGGGTTTAGAGGGTGTCTGATCCATCTTGAGATCCAGGGTTGGAAAAGGGCCCCTTCCGTGGGTAGACCGGTGGGAGAAGGAAGTGAAAACAACTGGAGCCCCCACCCCTGTTTCCTTTCCCAAGGCAGGGGGGGGGACTGCCTTCACTGGCCTTCTTCCCCCTCCCAATATTGAGGAAGGGGGGGAGCCGCTTCCTTCCAGCCAAAGTCTTCAGAAGAGAGTCAAGGCTGTGCTTAGAAATTCTGGTGGGTTGCCTTGAAGGTTGGGGGGGCAGTGGTGGGGGGCTACTGCTGCTGCTGCTGCTGCTCCCAGATCTCCTGAGTTGCGGGGGGGGGGGAGAGGAATTATTATGGGTGAGTTCTTGTATTATGTTTTGGATCCAAAGTTTTTGAGTGAACATTTGCATTGACCTCAATTTAAAAAAAGAGAGCATTTCCTTCTTTCAAAGAGTATGTTTTCCCCCTGGAAACAGCAGAAGGAGGGAGCTCAGAATAATGTTTTGAGGCTGGGGGTGGGATTCACTACGTGAAGGGATTGTGTGGCCCTACACCTCCTCAGCTGGCAGAAGAGAGTGTCTTGTCCCTTGGTGGCTTTTAGGAGAATTTAGGAGAAACTACAGAAGGGCTGCCTGGCTCTTCTCCCTCCCCACCCCCACCCCCAGGGGCTGAGGTGGGGATTATCCTGGCCCTCCTTCCATCACTACAGGCGGCAGAGTATGGGGGGGGCACCTTCAGTTTAGCAGGATCAAACCAAGGTGGGAGCTGCTGTTCCTCCTCCTCCTCCTCCATCCACCCAACCCAGCCCCTTTTCCCAGGGTGGTTTGGGACTGGATGTGGCCCTGGGAACCAGAGGCGTGGGGGGGGGCACCCTGCTCTCCCCGAATGGTTTGGCTGCCGATATGATCTTTGAATGAAGCCATTGCTTTGAGTTCTGCATTCACTTGAACTGCTGGTGCTTTTCCTGATGGCACACAATTATTGCAACCCTTAAAAAGCTTTTTATGGACTCCTTGCAGGCCCAGCCATTGCACTGCTAGTGTATGTGGGGTTTTTTTCTTCCTTCCCCAAAGGCAGATAGAAAGATCCGGATGCAGACTGACATATTGCCCAAACTGGTGCAATGACCATTTTGCCCATTATTGGGGAGGGGGCATTCCCTTTCCCCTCATTTCTACTCCATTCAGTTTTCAAGCTTTCAAGTGAGACAGGCTGGAAGGGAGCTCAGGGCACAGGCTGTTTCATCATCATCGTCATCATCATCATCATCATCATCATAGAACTGCAGAGTTGGAAGGGACCTTATGGATCATCCCTGTAATAGAGGCCCATTTGGGAATCAAACACCCAGCCTCCACCTCTGCCACCAGACGGCTAAACCACTGAGCTATCCTTTCTCCCTCTTTCCTGGCATCATCCACCTTCCCCTGAGCATCTGCCCAGCTTCGTGCACATGGTGATCAAGGAGCAGGAACCTTCCTGGGCCTTTGTTTGCAGGAGATTTGGCAGGAAGGGGGAGCGACGGGGTCAGCCCAACCTGCCTTTTATACCTGTCTCCCCACCTCTCTGGCGAGCATCCAAAGCCGTCCTCTGCCAGGGCCTCCCGCTCCTCAGATGCCTTGCAGGACTGGTTGCTGGACAAGCCAGACTATTCGAGACAAAGAAGTGAGTGATGCAGAACTCAGCTTCCTTTCTCCGTTTCTTGGGGACGGATCCTAAAGGCTTCTCAGAAGGTTTGCTTCAACAGCTCAGACTAAATATCCCGCTTTCACATCCAAAGAGAGGTGGTTTCTTTGCACCTTTGCTAAGGTTACTCAAAAAAACAAGAGAAACACAGGGCACTGAAAGCCTAATAATATAAGCAAACCCTGCATTATTTTACTCAACACAAATGCCCACTAACAATTTACTTATATAGTTTTATACATCCATGTTGTAAAATATCAGTCATCCATACAAAATTAATTTAGATATATAAACAGCAACAGGCAGATTATGACCAAGAAACAAGGACAGTTTGTTATCAAAGCAAACTAGACTCTGAAGAGAAGCAGTGAGGACTTTGGGAAAAAAAACCTCTCAAGGAAATGTCGATTATAACAAGATAGGGACTAAATGAATTAGGCACTCCAAGGAGTGAATTTATCACTTTGCATGAAGGATTGTCTATTTATTACTACAGGAACGGTATATATTATAAACGTGTGTGTCACCTTGAGATAACCTTTTAGGCTTTCCTGTGGCTGTATATATTTTTGAATTAATGTGGTCTGGATTTCAGTTTGGATATCACAAATATTCATTTTCCACAGATGACTGACATCTTGTAAAATGTATGTACAAAAGCATATAAGTAAATTGTTGGTGTTTGTGTTTAGTAAGATAACACGGGTTTTGTTTATATTATTAGGCCTTTGCTAATGTTGCCAAAGAAGCTGGAAATAGTCAGATATGCTGGACCAGCACAGAAAAAAATATTTTAGACCTCAGACTCAATGAGTATTACTCTTTCATCAACCCTTTGTTGCCCCCAAACCCCACTGGAATGGAACAGAACGGCCCGGAAGGGCAACGTCTGAGTAGGATAACCCGACCAAAGTCACAACTCACACGTGACTAGAGGAGATGGATCATAGCACAGAGGCCAGCCCTGGGCTCACGTTTTGGGACAAGGCCAGTGCCAGGGAACAGCCGGACCGCCCAGGCTTTGCCCTCAGCAGGATTCTGGTACAACAAGTCTCTTCAAGCCACAAGGGCTTGGCACGGATCGTCTGCAGGAACAAATGATGCAAACAGGCAGAAAAGGTCCCCAGGAAACACATTCCGGTGCCTGTTCTGGGCAGAAAATCAAAGTTCCAAGAAACAGCCTAGAATGGTGACTTCCGAGTAGGACAGCCCAACCAAATCTACCCACCTGGTCCAGCTCAGAGGGGACACACGCAGCCGGCTGCAAAACAGCCTCAGGGATTGTTTTCCAGTAAGCCCTTCTGGGCAGAAAACCAATATTGCACAAAACCCGCCTGGAACAGCGATGGTCCCATCAGATGAGAGAGGAGTGATGGGAGAAGCCAGAAAGCGTTCTTGGGGGCCACATTCCAGGACCTGTTCCAGGCCGGAAACCAACACTGCCAAGCAGGAAGGCAGGACAAGAGCCCCCGCTCCCATCGGACTAGAAGGGGCTCATGCATCAAGTCCCCGAAAGAGCCCCAGGAGCCACCTTCCCCGGGCTCTTCTGGGCCCAAATGCCATGTTTTGGAAACGGCCGATGAGCAGCCGCTTCAGCATGGGTGACGCCAACCAATTCATCAGCCCTTTAGGACGGGCCGGGAGCCACGCATCCAATCAACCACCTTCACAGTCCACACACACAAACACAGATTGTGGCTGTTTGCTTTCCCAGTGGTCAAATATTGTTTGAATAAGAGGAACACATTCAATTGAATTCAGTCAACAGATACAATAAAGAAACCGGCAAACCACTTGCCAGCTCCATCACTCGAAGGTATATAGACATCCTGCAGTCGCTGAGACCTTGATGATGCCGTCTAGTTGTTAACAATCCTTTTCACTAGAAAGAACTTTTTCTAGTCCACTCAGAGGGTTGATTCTTGTCAGACTATCTTACTTGGAATGTGCTGTTCCCAGTTGGAGTATTTTGTTTTTCTCATTTTTTCTCCACAACATCATTTTTTTCTGCCCAGAACAGGTACTGGAATGTGTTTCCTGGGGACCTTTTCTGCCTGTTTGCATCATTTCCTTCTAGCTGGACGAGGCGGGTGAAATTGTTTGGACTGTCCTGCTTGGAAGTCTCCTTTCTGGGGTGTTTTTCACAATATTGATTTTCAGGCCAGAAGAAACGGGCGCCGGAATGTCGTTCCGGCAGATGATTTGTGCCAAGCCCTTATGAGTTGCAAAGAAGGATTGAACCAGAATCCTTCTGGGAGCAGAGCCTGTGCAGTCCAGCTGTTGGGTGGAGCTAGCCTCTTCTCTTCTCTTTTCAGGCTGGCTTGCAGAGTGGCCATGCTTGGACACAGGGTCCAGTCCATCTGGAAGGAGGATCACCTTGCAAAGAAGTTGGAAATGTTCCCCCTCTTTTCTTTTTTCTTTTTTTTATCATTAATTGGCTGACCAGCTCCTAATTAAGTTGGAAATTGCCCCAGAGGGAGACCAAACCTGCAATACAAGGATATGTGCAAGCAGGATCTGAAGGCCTTAGGAATGGACCTCAACAGATGGGAAACCTTGACATCTGAGCATTCAGCCTGGAGGCAGGCGGTGCAGCATGGCCTCTCCCAATTTGAAGAGACCCTCGCCCAGCAGGCTGAGGCAAAGAGGAAGTCACAAAAGCAGCAAAACCAGGGAGCTGGACAGGGGAGAGATTGGAAGGGATGGCCACTCTCAAATTGGCCTTCTCAGCCACACTAGACACTGTTCCAAGACCTCCATATAGAGCACATAACCATCGTCTCTCGAGACTGAAAGATGCCTACATTAATTGGCTGGTGTCACCTCTCCAGTGTTTCCCCCATGTGTTCTAGCGATTGTTGTGACATCATCTAGACACTTGATTTATCAATGTATCACTTACTAAAAATATATATAAAGAAATGGAATCAAAACCTTTAAGAACAGCAGGCTCCTAAAATAGAAAGGAAATGAGTCGAGTTCAGCAGTGCAGATGTCAACACTGGTTTAAATCACCAGAAATTAATTGTTTTCCATTCAGTGCACGTGAACCCAGCCACGGTTTTAAATACCACATGACTTGACCCTGATTTTAATAAGGTCTGAGCAGAAATTGATTCAAATTGCCAGTGGGACCACAGCCTTAGAAGTGAAATATTTTTAAAAGCCCCTTCTGGCCAGTTGAAAAAGGGAATCGCTTTGCAGCCCATGTATTTTTTTTTTTTTTGGACTTATATACCGCCCCATAGCGCTACAAGCACTCTCC